GTAAAGTGCACTCCAAATTGAAGGGAGAAGTTCCAACCCCCTTTTTGAATTGTAATTCATTCAAAAATAAATTTATACATAAATAAATTCCTTTTATTTTATTTTAAAACAAGAAAAAAATAATTAAAAATAAAGATGAATCCATGGCCTTTTGACCATAGCGGCTTAATTCCCATTATAAAAATAGTGAAGAGAGACCAATACGTGGTCACTTCTTCTTCCCTTTCCCACTTGCGCGATACAAAGCCGCGAAGATAGATTCCGATCGAAAGAGGAAGAAATCTTCGATCTCTTCGGCAGATCGAACTGCGGAGAAGGAAAGGGACCACAGGAATCACAGCAGTCACCACAAAAAGAAGGGCAAAATGTCTTCTGGACAGGTCAGGGCATCGCACATACTGATCAAGCACCAGGGTTCTCGCAGGAAGGCCTCCTGGAAGGATCCAGAAGGTCGCGTCATCTCCAATACTACCAAGGAGAGTGCCATCTCACAGCTTAATGCCATCCGGGAAGACATCGTTTCCGGCAAGGCCAAGTTCGAGGAGGTCGCTTCTCGCTACTCTGACTGCAGCTCCGCTAAACGCGGCGGCGATCTCGGTCAGTTCCCTATTTCCCGAGGCTCTCAATTTTCCTTTATTTTCTGTTTGGTTGCTGAGATTTGGATGGGTTGAATATTAGGGTTTTAATTGATCTATAAATAAAAAAGTTAATGCAAACTGCCTTTTTATAATTAGTTAATCAGATATTTTTCTTTGATTGAATCTTAAATTAATTGTCCATTAAATTAGTACAGATTATTAATTAATTCTGATTTTGTTGCTTGGTTGCTTTACCAAGCCAGAAATGGATTAACTTGTTGCATTGAGCTTCTGAATCACAAATTTCGTGGGTTGTTAATGTTCAAACTTTTAAGATTTGGGCTATGACAGTAATTAAGTATGAAAACTTTTGTATGCAATTTCCCTGATGAGTGAATCCAACTTCATATCTTAGTGCTCACGCTTTGATGGTCTCTGTTGTGTTCAACTTTGCCTGGTTGAGTGGCTGATTATTCATGGTTTATGAACATAATCTGTAAGTGCATTTGGATGTCCTGAAAACCATGCTTGCAATTCAGAGAACTAGACATTTCTTGGCATTGATTCTGCTTACATATTTGAGATCACTTTACTTGAATTGTTTTGTTTTGAGTCAGTTGGTGGGCTTGCCATTTTTGTAGAGGGGACCTGATAAGCCACAGTGTGGTTAATTAAGCTTAAAGCACATAGTAGATGCATTTGATTTGCATTCATCTTTTGATCATTTTTCCGGTGTCTGCATTTCTTTATTTGTTATTTCTCCCTTTGTCATGTTTGCAGTTCTTGACATTGACTTTCTCTGCTGCAATTATCGTCTGTTACTTTAGGTTTTCTGTACTCATGGTTGCATATGCACAAGTAATGTGCCAATTTGGGATTGATGTCTATAACTTAAATGGGCTTAGGTTACTTTGCATCTCGGTACACTGTTACGGTCTAAGGAGAACTGTATTCAACCTATGATGCAGGTCCTTTTGGTCGGGGCCAGATGCAAAAGCCATTTGAGGAAGCAACATATGCTCTTAAGGTTGGCGAGATAAGTGACATTGTTGACACTGACAGTGGAGTTCACATCATCATGAGAACTGGTTGACTGATTATTGATTAGGGGAGCTTGGGATTTTATAGAGCAATCACTTCAGTTAGTGTGCTCAGCAAATATATCCATGATTATGATTTATTATGGACTTGGTTTTGTTTCTGTTTGGGACAATATAGGAGTGTCTTATGATAATGCCTTTGGCCATTCTTATTGAGTAATGTTTTACTCATTGATACAACTGACCCATATACTACACGGGATGAATATTTTGGTTGATAAGGCATTTGATTTCAGGACATTTTCAGCTATGATTTGTAATGGTTTGTGTTCATTATAAGAACATTTTGCTTCTGTATTTCTGTTTCTCTCTGAAATTGTTTGAGTAAAGCCCTACCCAAAGCAATAGTCTTTTCTTGTTTTGATCATGGTCTAAAATGGATTTGATTTTTAAATTTTCCTATGCATTGGAATGGAGAGACATGAAACTGTAAGGAAATAAGCCAGATACAATTTTTATGGCAACTTCATTGCAAGGTTTTTAAGGTAATCTCTTAAATAGCATGATGATTTAAGAACCACTGGTGTACAAATGGCATCTTATTTTGGGTTTCTCAGAAACATAAACTCCATGCCCAGAAAATAGAGAAAAAAAAAAAGGTGCATTCCTGGCCCAGTTAAAGTTTATTGGATTTGTATTGATTTGAGAAAAAAAGGTTTGCAATGAGTTGATTAGTTTGGAACTAATTATGTTTCGTGCAACATTCTGTTTCGCTTTTATATTTTACAAAATTCACTTTGGAACCGAATATAAAGAGATAGCATTGATGGGTTTGCGTCTTTCTTATGCTGGTTTTGTAATTTATATTAGGCCTTCCCGGTTCCCACTTGATCTTCAGCTAAATTTTGAACAAATATTTTTCAGATTTCTACTAAAAATATTTCACAATTGACCCATTCGTAATCCTGGGAATTATACTCACTCTCTGAAGCTCAGCTCTTCAGCTGAAAAACCTGTACATAAAATAATTGCCCTGCCTTCTACCTTCCTCTTATTTCACTACTCAGTTTCATTCTCTTGGCATTTGGGACTTCCATTACCTCACCACCAGACAAGTCATGCAGATAAGGGCAATTGGTACCATTTCGGCATCCCCTTGGAGTGCCAAAATACATGCAAGGTTTTTGTTTCTTTAATTTCAGTTGTCCAGATTGTCCAGATTTTAAGTTCTGTACCGGTACCTGCATGTTCTTATGATGGTGACTGGAGGATTGCAGCATATTAAAGTCCTGTTTCTCTTGCTTTTCTCTCCCATGTTCCTTAATCAGGTTCTTAATGTAGTTAATATCTTTCACTGGATTTACTTTCGCTGGTGCTGCAAAGGTGGGAACAGTAACAGAATTAGACTGCGCTGGAGTTCTCCTGATGGTGGACTCAAACTTTGAAACGGAATTTGGTCTCGCAGGTGCTGCAAAGGGGGGAACAGTGGCAGATTTTGGCTGTACTAGAGTTGTACTGATGGTGGGCTGAACCTTTGGGACGGAATTTGGTTGAGCAGGCTGCATCCTGTTTGATGTAGAGTAAACATTATCATTTGCAGTTCTAGATGCTGATACCGCATTCATTCCAAGGCTGGATGTGGGAACTGCTGGCATAGTCGTCATACTTGATGTAGGTAGCACCCTATCCCCGCTTGGTGAATGGCTTGGGTTTCTATTTGCTGGTATTGGTGGCAAATCCAGAGCAGGTTTTCGACAATTGCGAGGAACTGGTGCAGTCACTGACTTGGACACAAATAGGGGTGCACTTAACCCACAAGAGGTTGGAGCCTTTGCAGCCGTAGCAGGGGCACTTGTGTTTGCAGAAGGCGCCCCATGATCTTTAACCAGAGTCTCAACTGTCTTTGGGTCACTGAGAATCTTGACAAGCAAGTCAGGGTCAATCATACCGCCCAGCTCTTTGCTTTTCATAATTGTAGTGAAGACAGCTGAAGCAGCTAGCATAATATCAGGGCTTAGACCAGTTGATGCCACAGTTGGTGGTCTTTCATTAGCAGGCAGCTCTAGCACTGGACCATTAAGATGTAGAGTAGTGTTGGGAGTACTAGATACAAAGAGACCATGAGATATGTTTGCTTGTGCTGGAAAATCAGATGGTACATCAGTATCCTCCTCATCTTCAATAGGTGTTATAGGAATGACAGTAGTCTGGCTATCGTCATAGTTTTCAGCCTTTATGTCCAACGAAACAGAGGGACTACACAGCAAAACAAGGCATAATAAAATCAGTTTGCTACATGGTAAACATGGCAGTTATAGCAGTCACACAACATTTTGAAGAATAAGACAGTAAATATACCTAGGAGGGATAGCAGAAGGACGTGGATAAACTGCTTCAAGCACTTTAATTTCTCGAAACTTCTGAGCTTCTACCTCTTCACTTTCCTCACCAGCTACAACTTGCCAGTTGGCATTCACAGCAAACTGTTTAAATAATGCGAAAGGAAAGCATTCAGATTCAAATCCATGAGACAACATTTAATCAGAGAAGTTGACATTGAATGATCCAGAAAACATAAACAACTTTTCCCATCATTAAGGTAGCACTTATTAACCAGACATTTCTTCAAAATAAACTAACATCTGCTTACTTTGGGAGGACATTTCCACTGAATCCGAGGAATATGTGATATTTCATTCTTCATATTAGTCAAAGAATTACCCCCATTAAACCCTGGAGGAAGACCATCTGTGTCCACACCACTAAGATGCAATGTCCATAATGATTTTGCATTTAGACTAACTTCAGGTTCAATAGCAACTTTGGAAGGACAATCTCCCATTAAAAACAACTTTACCTGAAATTATACCACAAATTGGTCAATGCCAACATATTATAGCCCCAGAAGAGTAGTAGTAAGCTATGTTTATAAGAAACGATCAAGAGATTAGCTGCTATATATAATAACCTCTATCATAGCAAGCTCCATCAATTAAATGATGACATCCCCTGGAAACTAGAAAGACACGATTGCATGCAGGAACACACAAACATACTAAAATAACACAGCTTATTCAAAGACATTTAGTTAACTAATGTGACCCACACTCAGAAATTTTCTTTCTAGACTGATGATTTCCCTTGTCAATCAATTTATTGCCTCATATGCTAAATATCCCAAGCCTGCCTTTCCAATCTTGCTTCCTTTTATTACAATCCAAATCCATGATCTCAAAGGTATATATTTATGTATATATCTAGTAACAAATAACTAAGATAATCCCACATTTTTTTTTTTAATCCAGCAGCAATAAAATTAAACCTAGATGATTTTCTTAGTGCCTTTTATGGTCTTTTCTGCAAATTAATTGAAGCAGGCTAATGACACAATCTAGATATCAATGTAGATTCAACGATAAATTCCCTCTTAAGGAAATAATAAATCCAAGGCTTACAAATATGATAATGCAGCTTAAACTCCATAGGCTAGAATGAAATGACTGGACTTAATTTATCTTTCACTCCCAGGATATATACAAATTCTGTAAAACCTTATTCTACATTACACATTGCAGAATTCATGCATGTAACCAAAGTTACCAAATTGATCTTCACAAATTCCTCATCTCAATTTTAGGTTTCCATTAAATCCTTAAAAGGGGATTGCATTACAGTAAGCAAGTGTCCAGACAAGTTTCGAACTTTTTAGTAAGCAAGGGGATACGAAACATTTCTAAGTTGATTTCTACAAAATATAACTAAAAAAACACCCAGATTGGATCTTTGCAGAGTTAATCCTAATGTAAAAAGGAAGAAACTTTCTTGAATTTCTTTCTGCTCTCTTGGATTTGGACTTTCACATTATGAAAGGATGGATGGATGTATACCTGACAAAGATTAACACCAGGAGCCCAAGAAACCCTGTTGGATCTCCTCGATCGCTTCATAGTTTTACAACTCATATCAATGTAGAACCGTTTTACCCTTGAAATTTATCAGTTAATAGTTCAAGTAACCAAAGACAAGAAATGAAAAAAAAAAAAAAAAAAAGGTGATCTGATTTCAAAACCCTAATCGGCGATTAGAAGAGGAGAGTGGTGGTGGTGGTGGCGGCGGCGACTGGCTAGTGTAGGAGAAGAAAAAGAGATTCGTTTTATGGGGAGACACAACCCTAGGAATCCCTATTCTGCTTCAGTATGAATGAACAAAGCAGTTATGAGGTACGACTGATACGTGGGTTTGGGGTGGTGGAGTGTGGGAAGGGTTAAGACTTAAGAGGGTATAGAGAGAGAAAAGTAAATCGGTACACGCTGTCTGTGACGCGTCGAGCCGGATCCATGACAGTCGTGATGCTGACATCGCTTAATAATGGATAATGACG